GTGTTCAGACGACACAGACACACGAACAGCGGAGTGTGTTCAGACGACACAGACACACGAACAGCGGAGTGTGTTCAGACGACACAGGCACACAAGAACCCCTCTTGCCTCCGTCTGCAGTAACTAACACCCCCCCTTCCTCCTCCTTCCCCCAGCTCTGAAGCTTGCCGTGGCCAAGCTGGGCAGAGCGAGCAGGCAAGAGGCTCCAGCAGGTGCTCTCACATCTGTACCGTACCTGAAAGAATCCCGGAGGAACCGGTCCCACTGGCATCCCGTCTCCTGGAGGCATGTTTCCAAGGACCGGACTGGGAGCTGCGGCGGCACTCTGAGAGGGACACAGAGGAGCAACAAGGTCTGTCAACAGATACCAAGAGCATCGCATGAAACGCTACGCGCCCGCCTCTCTGTCCATCTTGTTTCACTCGGAGGCAGGCGTGGGGCTGTACGGCCACAGGGTTAAGGCTAATGGACAGGGATCCCATAAAACTGAGCTTGATGCTCTGATAGAATCACTCCATGCACCAGAGGATGGCAAGATGTGATGGGCTGAAAGGCCTGTTCTTGTCATAAAACGATCTTTTGCTCTAATCTATTTATATCCACTAGAAGGAACCCAGCGGTCTCTGTCTGTTCAAGCTCAGTCAGACTCCCAGACTGACAATATTCTGGCATGGAGTGTCAGTTCATCTGCTGCTGTAGTCTGGGTCTTAGGAGTAATGTTGATTAGACAGGCATAAGAGAAAATTAAAAACATGAAAACACTGAGATGAAGAAGTACAGTGAAGCGAAAATACAAGAGCATGATTTTTTATTACGCAAAATCAATTATAGGCTAGTATTTTCTGCCAGCAAACTCACAGGATTTCCTTAAAAATTAAAAATCTTTCAGTTTTAATGAATGTATGTCAGAGATTCTGGTTGCACAGATCAATTCTAGGCTCTGATACAGACTAAAACCGTTCTGCGTCCGAAAAAAATGAAAATATAAAAATGTAATTGGACAACACCTTTGTTTTCATTAAGCAAGCTGACGTAGTCTGTTTTTGATCTGTTTTTTTTGTCTTTTTTTTAAGAGGGTTAAAAATTACATACAGTATGGCCCCAAAGCACAGGAAAACTCCGATCTGTCCTGCAGTTCCAGACCATTCCCAAACCAGAAACGGAAGCCAGCCTTCCACCAAGCACAGAAGACACAGGCTGGAGAGGTGATCTCCAGCTGGTTACTCAGAGAACAGGCTGCTGGTGGCCTCAACACAAGTTGGGAAAGAAAAAAGCCCCCCCAGCCCTGGTTTCTTTCAGGAATCAGCTTGGAACCTCACTGACACCTCTCCCAGCTCACCGTACTGACATTGAGGTGGAATCTCAACCCAAAATCAACACAACACATGAACCAAGTGAAAGTGATTAAAGGGAGTCCTCAACCTCGCCGTATGTTAGACAGGGTGTAAGCAGGGCCTCCTTCACGAAACAGTGGAATGTGATCCTCAGATCAATTACCCACTAACCACCATCATCCAGGTGGGGCTGCACACTGGTGGTGTTGGAGGGGATCCCCATGACCTGTAAAGACCTCTGAGTGGAGTGTCCAGAAAAGTGCTACTGTATATATGTGTAAGAAGTTATTATTGTTGACAAACAGGTCAGAAAGTGCGAATTGCCTCCTGTCACTCTTAACCTTTCCTCCAGCACAAAAAAGTTAAATATTCGCACATCGAATTAAAGACAAAATTGAAATCTTCATGCAAGCTCCCTTCTAGCCGAGAATTCCTGATGCACGGGGACTGCAAACAGTGAGAGTGACCTGCTCACAGACCCTGCAGACACTCATTTGGGGGAATGCTTCGTTACACCTGAAGGCTGTCTCTTCCCGTTGATCTGGCCCTGTTGCCCCATCTCTCTGGTTGCCTTGCCTGACATTTAAAGGCCCCCCACATTAACAGTGACAAACACAATAACTTTTCGCTCCGACTCCAAGGAAACACTTAGCTTTCACCGTGTGTTTTCCCACACAGCTGTCGAGGAAGGGCCTAGTTTCACACAGCCCCGGCTCACAGCCTGACTCCTGTCAGTCTCCGACCCCTGCAATCTGGAGATTAATCCCTTACTCTCTCCCTCTTCCTCCTGTTCCCTTTGTCTAACTCTCTCTCTGTGCCGTACCACAGAACCTGCCAAGCTGCTTATTAGCACTCTTCCCATCTCCGAAGCCCTGTCAGCAGTCTTTCTACGAAGTGCTGTCGAACTGATGCAATCATACTGGGGTGCACTGCCTGCTAATAACCAGGCCTGAAACTGGAATGAACTACCGTCTCAACCAAGGGCTTCTGCAGCTAACTGGCTACACTATCTGGGCACTGCAAGTGCTGCAAACCCTAAAGTAGGTTTTATTAAAGGACTTCGCTTTAACAGTCTTCAGATTTGACTGACAAAATCGGCTTCAAGGGGAGCTATGTCTACAAACTCTGAAATACTGGACTTTCCCCGCCATTACGGACACAGCAAAAACGCTAAAGTAATTAAACGATAAGTAGCATTGTTCTTGTACAACACACCTGTAAAGAGGTCCCTGCAAACAACAGATGAAGTACAGGGCAACTGGTACAGGGCCAGGCTCTTTAAAAAAACTCTGGGAAATGCACAAATAATGAAACAAAGTTAAAATAAATACTACATATGGTAAGTATAAAATTCAGGAAAATCAGTGGTGCACTAAAGGGGTACGTTAATTGCTTAAGAAGGTTCTTTTGGTATCTTTTAGTGAATTTTGTATGGTATATTTATGCTACATAAAATAAAGAGCTTGTATATGACAAAAAGGGCACAGGAACAATTTTAATTGGCAGTGTTGAATGCAATTGTTACATAAAGTCAAATGATCCTAAAAGCATAAATATTGTATATATATATATCTCATATAATAGTGTTTTGGGGCTGAAAAATGTCATTAGTGATTTTTAATGGATATTCAGCAAGAACATATACCTCTTCCCCCCATTAATTCGTTAAACTGAGGGTTTACTGTAATTAAATTCACAAAGATCGTTCAATTAAACATGGGACACACTTCCTCAAACACTTCAGATGAAACTCCAAACCATTAAACACCCAGTCAGAAAATTAACTTTTTAAATCGACCCATGGAAGACCAAACCTCAACACCTCATACATTGCAGGAATGAGAGAAAAATAACTCATTAACATTTAACTGTTAAAGGCAGCCAGACTCAGAAGTCCCCATTGATCTCTTTGTTGAATGTACCAATCCATATACAGCAGGTTGTCAAATACTGTTTTTCACATGGTGTGCATACATGGTTTAATTAGATCCATTAAATAATCTTTTTTTTAACCTTTTTTCAAGGATGATCCGTGATATACATTTACAGAATCATGATTCTTCTACAGTGACTCAAGAGTTTGTTGAAAAAACATATTTTAATTATTTGTGGCGAAACTCAAAACGGCAGTTCTTTTTTTCCATTCATGCAAATGAGAAGTTTGCAGAGCGGGCACACTGACTGTGGCAAAGATATACATATTTTTGCAGTGGAATTCCGTTCACACCTGGCTCATCTTTGCCCTTTGTGATCGGGTGGGCCTGGCAGGACCTGCTCCTGTTCGTTTTAGTGAATCTAAACCTTTGCAGAAATCATCACATGGATAATCAAGGACTAAAACTCCTGAGGGCTGCCTCCGGTAAAGGAACTCCCCCAAGCACATGCGGATCGCGGATTCAAGCCTGGGTCATGTCACGTCACTAGCTGGCCGCGCCTGCCAGTCCCCAAATTACAGCACACAACTGGTTGAGAGCTGTCGAGGGCTGGTAGAGACTAGTATTCGCTCTCAGCGACACTACGGCCCCCACTGGCCTCCTGGGCTCCTGCAGGCATGTAGTGAGTCGGTGTGGGGGGCACTTCTTCTCCAGCTGGAGCTGAGCCCTTAGACCCTTGTCTTTGATGTGTTAAAAGACAGGGTTCGTGAAGGTGGGCGGGGCTGAGGATTCTAGCCACACCCCCTCATTATCCCCCATGTGCGGACACAGTGTCCGTCGCTGCGAGCCGAGAAGCACAAAACACACAAACAGCTAATCAAAACTGGGTGGGTTATAATGAAAATAATAGCCAGTTTTAATTTTTTAGACAAGCAGCAACGTAGATTTATCTTGTATCAAATTAGGGGAAGAAAAAAATATCTAATTATCTTAGAAAGTGGAAACAAGCAAAGAGAGACAGCAGCCATGTCATGCTAGAATTTCTTCAGAAACTACTGTACATATTAACACTAATTAGATTGAATGCCTTAAAACAAAGCCTGGAATGATAACAGCTTAGGTTTGGTGTTACCAATGGAATCTGCAATTGCCTCTGAATCCATCTACTGGTGCTACAGCAGAAGTTCTAATATTGCCGGATACAAGATCAAGGTGAAAAACCGATGAAGGGAAAGTAACCACAGATTTTCATTCCTTTTGTCAGGAAGCTGCTCTCTTCAAAACACTTCAATCAGATCCTTTAACGGCAGCACTCACACAATAAAACCCAGCAATCCATCAAATGCTTGTGAGTGCAGGCGGAAGAGTACCACCAACGTGGCACATCTCTGCCTCCCATCAATCCATCACTCATGCCATAACCATTTTCCCTCTCTCTCCTTCCCCACTTCTGTGGTGTCGACCCAAAGCAGGAGGAACTAAGTTCCACACCTCGCGGTGAGATAGCGGACTAGAGGAGTATGCAGTGTTTCTCCGATATTTCTTGTTTTTTTTATTTCAGCTGTCTGATCAAAGCTTTTATACACCTCAACCTGAATAAAAGTAATTTGTGAGGTCCTAATGAGATTTGAACTGGCTAGCAAGCCCCTAACCCACATCAATTACAGATTTTTATTATGAATCTGATAATTGGCACCAGGGACGTCCCATCTCCAACTGCCGCCAAGCACCTCCTCACTACTCACTATCCCAGAATGCACATCATCTGCCCCTGCCTCAAACAAAACTGCTGCTATCCCAGAATGCACCGTATCTGCCCCTGCCTCACTCTGGACTGCTGCTTCTTCCACCCCAATAGTATATTGAATTTCTACTCATTAACATCGCTCTCTTTTTGACATGGCCAAATGCAATATTGCTTTTCTAGGTGTAGTCCTCGTTAAAGGACGCAAGCCTCAGCTTTTATGCTGGGATTGCTTTGTTCTAACATAAGAAAAACATTTTTAAAACTGCCACAAACGAATCCACACGAATGAATCCATAACTGTCCCAATTCATTACACGTTTGTTGGCGTAATGAGCTGGGACGCACATTCCTTTCCCATTCTTACAGAAGC